TTGCACATCTTTAGCCATTCAGGAAAATCTGCTATAAACAGAATTATGGATCAGAGATCTGCATGTTTTCAAGGTTTTTGACACATGTCTCTCCAGGAGTTCTATAATTTATATTTCTACCTTCAGTGTATGAGAGTGCTCATTTTCTTAAAAACATCACCAATAGCTGGGATAATAATAAAAATCTTTACCAGCTTGATAGAGAAAAGCAGTTTCTCATTTGCTGTTACTACACTTTAAAAAATACAGTGGTGTAGTTAAACTTTAAAATACGTTTTATAGCCAATTGGTATTTATTCTTTTCTGAAACGTCTATTTGACCATGTCTGATTTTGATTTTTTTCAATTATCAAGCATTTAGTATAAGATTAGGCTACATTTGCTTTATTTTTAAAATACTAACAATCAAACTAGGAGCCAAAGTGGCTATTTTATGAGAAGAAGAAAGATCTCTATTCCTAGCTGATTTTAAATGACCAGAGGATGAGACCTTGGGATAATTTGCTAAAGTTTGATAGTCTCCAGATTATATAAGTAAATGCCCAATTTCTTAATAGACACACTCGCACAGTTTTTTCCAATTAAAAATAATTTACAATTAGAACACATGAAGGTCTAAATAAATTTTGAATCAAAATCTCTATCATTTAAGATTATTTTATATCACAAATATAGAATTTTAACTATTTTTTAAAAATCAAATATTTTCATAAAATAGTATCTTTAAATAATAAATATGTGCCCTGGCCAGTTTGGCTCAGCGGTTAGAGCATCGGCCTGCGGTCCAGAGAGACCCGGGTTCGGTTCCCGCTAAGGGCATGTACCTCAGTTGCAGTTTGTCCCCGGCCCTGGTTGGTCGTGCGGGTGGCAGCCACTCGATGTGTTCCTTTCACGTCGATGTTTCTCTCTCTCTCTCTTCCTCTCCCTCCCACTCTATCTGTACAAAATATGGAAAAGTGTCCTTGGGTGAGGATAAAATATATATATATATATATAAAATAAATATGTTTTAAAAAAAGAAGAAAAAAAATTACCCCAGGGGTACAGTGTAAAAACATTTATTTACATGGTAAGGCTATAATAGTTACATAATTATTTTTGTTGGCACTAGAAGGCTAATTCTATGCCCACAGTGGGGAAAGTATTACATTTGTGGGCAAAATGGTAAAAACATAAAGTTAAAAAGGTAAAATAGAAACATATGGGGGAAATGTGTCACTAAGGACACTATTTTGGTATGGAAAAATGCACAAAATGGTTTGGTCATTTCTAGCCAGAAACCTAATAACTTGCCAAGTTTTCTTTCGTCAGAGATTAGACCCGTTTCTCTCAAATCGTTCATTTAGTTGGCTAAAGCAATACTCTTCTAAAACTCCTATGTAAAAATAGGCGGACTATACGTGTCTTTAAATGTGTAATGGGCCAGGGCTATACATGTATCTTCATGTTAGGGTTATAATCCATTCAAATTAGATGGTTTGTATTTCCTTTCTGAATTCCACCAAGTGTTCACTTCTCACGAATAAATACTCAAAAGGAACTTTAATACAAAAAAGAACAAAACGACCCAGGCCAGTTTTGCTCAGTGGTTAGAGTGTTGGGCCAAAGACTGAATGGTTCTGGGTTCGATTCCCAGTTCAGGGCATGTATCTGGGTTGCAGATTCAATCCTCAGCCCACATCAGGGTACTTCAGGAGGCAACCAATCAGTGTGTCTTTCACATCAATTTCTCTCTCTCTCTCTCTCTCTCTCTCTCTCTCTCTCTCCCCCCCTCTCCCTCCCTTCCACTGTCTCTAAAAATGAATGAAAAAATATCCTCAGATGAGGATCAAAAACAAACTTCTGATCCTATTTCTTGTTTCAAAGAAAAAACAGAAGCTATTATATAACTTTCTGCCATAGGTAAGAAAACTAAAAGTCAGAGAGGTTAAGTAAATTTATCAGAGTTTACAGCTAGTAAGGAGCAAAGCAAATCAGTTTGACTCCAGAGTTCAAGACCTTAATATCGACATTATAATGTCTCTCATTTTTTTCTTTCTCAGTTACTGACCTGCCATTTTCCTAGTCCTTAGAGATAAAAATCTATGTCCATCCTTGACTCTTATTCAACTTCATCATCAATAACCAATCATCTGTTTATTGCTATCTTCACTGGTATTTTCCCAGAACAAGACACCATCATAATGCATCTGAATTACAACCACATTCTTTAAATTTGCTCCCACTCAATCTATTTTCTACACTGAAAACAAAGTGAGTGAGCTCTCCATAATGCGAACCTAACTTAGCCAACCTAACTCCTACTTCAACTCTTACCAACTCTTTTTTTTAATATATATATATATTTTTCTTTATTGATTTTAGAGAGAGAGAGAGAGAGAGAGAGAGAAATACCGATGAGAGAGAACATCGATTGGCTGCCTCCAGCATACCCCGCATTGGGTATTTGGCCTACAACCTGAGCATGTGCCCTGACCGAGAATCGAACCAGCATCCTCTTGGTGCATGGGTCAACGCTCAACCACTGAGCCACACCAGTTGGGCTTTCCAACTCTTTTAAACTCAATCCTTTAGACTAGAGATTGGCAAACTCTTTCTGTACATAGCAAGACAACAAATATTTTAGGGTTTGTGGTCATATGGTATCTGTCCCAGACCTAACTCTACTACTGTAGCACAAAAGCAATCATAAACAATACATAAACTAATGGGCATAACTATGTTGCAATATAACTTTACAAAAACAGACAGTGAGCTAAATTTGGCCCATAGGCTATAGTTTGCCAACAGCTGCTTTAGACACATTGCATTCATTCATTCCATTAGCATTAAGTACCTTCTATGGGCTAGGCACTATGTTAATGATAACGGAGATAATGATGAGCAAAATAGGCATGTTTCTTACCCTTCTAGGTGCTTAAAATTTAGTGAAATTCCATAAATATATAAAACAGCTACTGTTAGGTACCACAAGAAAAAAATAAAGTGTTATGAGAGCCATAATGGGTGGATTTGACCTAGACACAGTGATCAGGAAGTTTTCTCTGAGGAATGTTATGATTTAGATGAGATTTAAAAAGGAGTATTCTAGGAAGAGGGATCAGCATTTATACTGACACGCGATAGGAAGAATCCTGGTTCATTTCTGGATCTGTAAAAGGATATTATGGCTGGAATGACAAAAATAATGAGGCTGGAGAGGGAGGGAGGTATCAGACCACGCATTTTGGGCCACATTCATGATTTCTATCCTTACCCTAAGTGAAATTAAAGTATTCTAAGGGAGAAATGATATGACTAGATATTCAGAGCAAAAAGGAAAACTGGCTTGTTCACCACTAAATCGTCAGCCACTAGTTCTCTGTCTGGAAAACTGTAGCAAATCTATGCAGATTTGAAGGGGGAAGCAAAAGTAAATGTAGACCAATTTCTTAGGAAACTATCCATTCTTTAGGAGAGATGATAGTAACTTACATTAAAGTAATGAAGAGAAATCTATGAAAGAGACAGATTTTTACGATAGAAAATCAGGAGGATTTGGTGATAAACTTTATTTGGCAGGGAAAGGTGAAGAAGAGAGAGAGACCGGAAATTCACTGAGAAGGAGATCACTGGAAGAAGGTCGGATTTGGTGAGGAAATAAGAGTCTGATTTTGGGGAGGCTGAGTATGAGATAACTTTGGCATATCCAATAGGATATTTTAAATAACCAGATGGGTATATGGACCTGGAATTCAAAGATATTGGTGTTAGAAATATAAATCTGCTGATGGAATATATATCTAAGAAGATATCATAGAACCAAAAGAAAAGGTCCTGGGACTTAATATTAAAGTATACTGTTATTTAATAGTTAGAAAAGGGTGAATCTGAAAAAAAAAAAAGTGAAAATCCAAAGAGATTAAGAGCAGGTCAGCAGAGTGCTGGGATATGGGAGTCAATAGCAGAAGGTTAAAGCTGCTGAGAATTCAAGTCAGAAAAACAATGAAAATTGGCCACTGGAATTAGGGAAATGGAAGCCATTTGTGATCTCATTTCAAGTTGCTAACACTCATTATTGTCTTCCTCGTTAGGACCTCTGCCTGTGACTTTCCCTTTACCTGCCTTTAATGGAACAGGATCAGTAAGATTTTCATTGCAAGGTTTTAGATTTAGGGGTAGGCTGGTTGGGTGGGTGTGGATCTACAGAGGGTTGAAAAAGAAGGGCTTAAAAGGAAAAACAAACAGGTAACAGACAAAAGCAGGTAGCCAAGAATCTATAATTTATCAAAGACAAATAGTAAAAAGTAGTACACTATATATAAAGGCAGCTTTTATATAGAGGCTAAGATAGCATGGCTGATTGAGATAAAGGCTAAAGAGAAAAGTATATGCACTCTTATTTTTAAACTATGAACAATATATTTTCATACATTTCACATTCTGGTTAGCTGTAATCACTGGGGATTTTATCAGATTTCAGGGAGCTCATTCTCTAGCTTATGGATTACATAGTACATTCTAGAGTCACAGAGTACTTTTCTCAAATATATGAAAATAAGTGAGAAATAATGTATGAAATCATCAAGCATAATTCCTGGCATTTAGAAGATACCTAGTGTATATTTACTGAATTTGAATCATTATAAAATTATGAACTTATATTATGAAATTATAATTTCAGACATGTTATTCTTTTAAAATAATTTTTGTTAACATATAATTGGCATACAATATTATATTCGTTTCAGGTGTACAACATAGTGGTTCTACATAATATACCTTACAATGTGGTCACAATACGTCTAGTAACCATCTGTCACCACTGAAAGTTATTATGATATTATTGACCATATTCTCTGTGTATGCAGCACATCCCATGGCTTATTTATTTTATAACTGGAAGTCTGTACCTCTTATTCCCTTTCACCTTTTTCACCCATCCCCACAACTCCCTCCCCTCTGGCAACCATCAGGACATAATACTGTTCCTGACCCACATGCAGTGAAAATTTTATTACCTTGAATATCATCATTGAATGTGCAATACTGGTTTCGATACTTGTTCAGGAGACGAAATGCATTTATATTGGCAAAATCTTCAAACTGAATAAGGCAATTCATGCCATACCTATGGGACAAAACAGTCACATTAGAAGAGTTTAATGAAATAACAGTTAAAAATAAACCTTTAAAATCACCCTATAGAAAAGGCAAAACATTACTTTTTTAAACATCCTACCTTCCTACTTAGTATAAATATGTAATAGAATGCCTGTTCAGCAAATATTTAGTGCATGCTTACTATAAAAAAGCATATGTTGGTACTATGAAATAATACAAAGATAATAAAAATGTGGTCTCTACCATCAGGGAACTTAAAATTTAGTGGAAACTAAAAGATTTTGAAATAAATGAAAACTAATGTAAAAGTGTATACAAAGGGAATTATAGATAATTAAGAAGACAGATAACACTTCTGGCTGGGGTCACAGACCAGGTAACAAATGAACTGAGTTTTAATGAATAGTTATGATTTCAAAAGTTGAGATGTAGGGTTTTACAAGCTGAATAAATAGCAGAAACAAAACAATTGAGGTGAAAGTTGGAGAAGAAAAAATTGTTCAAAAAATGTCAAGAAGCCCTATTTGGTTACAATGTGGTAAGGTATATAAGGGTGTAGTGAAAGATAAGGTCAGAATTTTATGTTGGAAATCTTAAAATTCTAGCCTAGGATTCTGGTTTTTATTCTCTAATGTCTGTTACCTGTTTGTTTTTCCTTTTAAGTCCTTCTTTTTCAACCCTCTGTAGATCTACACCCACCCAACCACCCTACCCCTAAATCCAAAACCTTGCAATGAAAATCTTACTGATCCTGTTCCATTACAGGCAGGTAGAGGGAAAATCAAAGCCTTTCAAAGATAAAATATACAAAATGGATTTTTATTTCTGAAATTAATTTACTTTTCTGACCCTTTATTCATATGATCATCATCCCCTCTATCCATTCAAGGCAAGAGAAATTATAATTATTGATAGCCAAAGTACCTGAGAGTTTCCAGAGAAAGCCATATAGCCATGAACATCCTTGCTACTACAGATTATGGTCTCCAAACTTGACTAGACACCAACCACCACCCTATTTGTAATTCCTTTTATTTGTCCTTGGTCAGCTTCCACTTTCATTACATGCAATGGCTACTCCTAATCTTTCCCAGTACTTTTAAATCTTGATCTCTTCACTTGTCTCCTCCTTCCTGGAACAGTAAGGGCATAATGCACGACCTCCCTCCACTGTTCTCCCCATCTCTATCTTTAGCTCTATTCTTCAGGCATCAGTGGACAAGGTGTTTGTAGTCTTCCTGGTTCGAGGTAACTCACCACTGGTGCCCCCATTTTCGCCACTTCCTTCTCATTAGCTCCCTCTCTCATTTTACAACTTCTTCATTTGGACATGTTCCTTCCTCTTATCTAATAATTGAGTTTGACTCTTTCATTAAAGAGAAAAAACTTCTTTCTTAACCCCATCTTTTCTACCTTTCCATTTAATGCGCCTGAAATAGTAGTTTATAGTTTTACTCTTTCTCAGTCCTCTACAGTTTACCTTTGCCCTCGTGACTCTACCAGAATTTCTGTTCTAAAGTTAAAGTATTTCCGGAATAAACATCCAATAAAACTGTTTTAACCCTTAATTTATTAGTGCTCTTTGCTGTATAGTGAGTAATTGGGTTTTTTTTCCTTAAAAATCTATTTCTTATATTTTTGTGATATCATATTTTTCTATGCATTCTCCCAAACCTCTAATCATTTCTTTTTCCCTTGTGGAATCTTTAGCATTTAAACATTGGTGTTTCCCATGATTCTATCCTTGTTCTTGTGTGTGTGTGTGTGTGTGTGTGTGTTCTAATAAATTTGATAAATTCTCAATCATGCTCATGGTTTTTATCAACTATAAACACTGACTCCAAAATATACATTTCTAGTCTATTCCTGTGAACTCCAGACTTGTATATCCCATGGCCAGCTGGATTATTTTATTTGAATGTATCTCAAACTGAAAAGTTCAAAACTGAATTCACTATATTCCCACAGTACCTATAAGTAATAAACAAATACTTGCTGAATTAATGTAATTTAAAAATATTTTCTCATTTAATCTCAAGGTACAATTTTATACATGATGAAAGCCTTGGGCAACTGGTAAACTAGGGAGGGGAGATTTGCAGAATTTCTCTACCATTTAGCAAGAAACAAAAATAAGTTCCTTTCATGTTAATTTTTAAAGAGTAGGCACTGCCCTGGCAGGTTTTGCTCAGCGGTTAGAGCATTGGCCGACGGACCAGAGTCGCAGGTTCAGTTCCCGCTAAGGGCACGTACCTCAGTTGCGGTTTGTCCCGGCCCCACGGGTTGGCAACCAATCGATGTGTCTCTCTCACACGGATGTCTCCCCTCTGTCTCTTCCTCCCTCTCTCCCTCCCACCTTGTCTGAAGATAATGCAAAAATGTCCTCGGGTGAGGATAAAAAAAAAAAAATTAGTAGGCACTAAGTAGGTTAGAAAAATTGTCAGTATCAATAATTTTTGTTAATGAAAGTAAAAATGTTAGCCTAGCCCTGGCCGGTTTGGCTCAGCGGTTAGAGCGTCCACCTGCGGTCTGGAGAGACCCGGGTTCGGTTCCCGCTAAGGGCATGTACCTCGGTTGCGGTTTGTCCCCGGCCCTGGTTGGTCGTGCGGGTGGCAGCCACTCAATGTGTCCCTTTCACATCGATGTTTCCCTCTCTCTCTCTTCCTCTCTCTCCCTCCCACACTGTCTGTACAAAAAATGGAAAAATGTCCTCGGATGAGGATTTAAAAAAAAAAAAAAAAAATGTTAGCCTAGTCAAAACAAGATTTTTTATCAAAAAAATTCAGTTAATACTATAAAACTCTAACACATTTTTCTCTTTGGGTTGAAATCTCAAATGCAAACAGGAATTTCTAAATGTAAATCATGGTTATTCTTACAACTTTTCTTCATATTTAACTGTCCCGTCTTTAAAAATATTTATTTTCTACAGTTGCCTAAGAAAAAATCCTATAAAACTATTTTTTTCTATCAGTATTTAAAAAATGTTTTTCTTATACATTCCACTGTTGTTTCCTTTTCTTTCTTTTATTCACAGTCTTTTTGGTAATGTTGACTATTTACTCAGAAGATTTTCTACAATAGTCTATTAGGTCTTCAAAGAAATAATATTTTACAGATGGACAACAGACATACAGAAAGATGTTCAACATCACTAATTATTAGGGGAATGCAAATCAAAACCACATGATATATTACCTCACACCTTTTAGAATGGCTATTATAAAAAAAGACAAAAAATAACAAATGTTAGAGAAAAGGGAAGCCTTGTCACTTTTGGTGGGGTTGTAAATTGGTGTAGCCACTAACTAAAACGGTATGATGATTCCTCAAAAAATTAAGAATAGAACAACTATATGATTCAGTTATTCCACTTCTGGGTATTTATCTGAAGAATCTGAAAATGCTTATTTGAAAAGATATATACACCTCTATATTCATTGCAACATTATTTACAATAGCCAGGATATGGAAACAAAACAACCCAATTGTCCAACAGTGGATGAATGGATAAAAACAGTGCAACATGTGTGTGTGTGTGTGTGTGTGTGTGTGTGTGTGTGTGTGTGTCTGTGTGTGAGTGTGTGGATAGTGGGATACTACTCAGCCATAAAACAGAATAAAATCTTGCTATTTGTGATAACATGCATGCCCCTTGAGGATATAATGCTAAGTGAAATAAGTCAGAAGAAGAAAGACAAATACCATATAATTTCTCTCATATGTGGAATCTTAAAAAATAAATGAAAGCAAACTCATAGATGCAGAGAAACGTCAGGTGGTTACCAGAGGGGAAGGAGTTTGAGATGTGGGTGAAAGGGGTGAAGGATGTCAAATGCACGAAATGGATGGTCACTAGACTTTTGGAGGTGACCACTTTGTATTATATATAGATGTCCAATTATAAAATTGTACACCTGAAACCTATATAAAAAAACAGTAATAGTCTCATGGTAAAAAAAAAAAAAAAAAAGTTGGTCCAAATAAAAATAATTAGAAAATTCTCATATGAGCAAAGAACATCTAATAAAATATGAATTAAGAGGAAGAAGCTAATGGTCTAAAATTTCTACTGCCAAGATCTTCAATTCTAAAATACTCTTCTCTCTGTCTCTATCCCTGCTTCCCATCTCTTCCACCAACTCTTTCTCCAGCACATAATATCTTCATTCTGGTTCTTCCTCTCCTCCTAATTCATTCCATCTTGCTTCATCTCTGTATGCCAAAGACAGGTTTTCTGCCGTGCACTGGCAGTGCCTAGACTCCCTTGTCACCTCGTTTTCTCTCACTGTGAACTACCCCCTCACTCCATGTATATAGCATGTAGGTCCATGCTATTGAGTCTTAGCCAGAACTTTAACCAAGTCCTGCAACATTTGTTTTCTTTGCTTATTGGTCCACTACATGATCCCAAAGCAGCTTTTATAAACTTTTTTTTATTCTCCTTGTCCCACAAATCTCTTACCAGTCACCACCTCACTAAGATTAATGCTATCCAGAGAGAACAATATTAGCTTTCCCATCTATCCTTACATACAAAAATCTTTGTACTTTTACTGCCTCCCTACTTCTTAAGTATTCTTACTTCCTTGTTTCTAATGATTCTATGGACCTTACTGCTTCAGCTTAACTTCTCTATACTAACAGGTTCAATTTCTCCTCTCCACTGGTCCATTCCTGTCTTCAAGGATTCACAGAACTCCCTGGTTTTAAAACCACATTCCTTAACCATGACGGAACCAAAACTATGGTTATTTATTGTTCTCCCTCTATCCTATTGCCAAATCTCTCAGAATAGAGAGCAATAACCCTTTCCTCATTTCTCACTTCTTGGCAAAATATGCCTGTATGTCAAAGACTGTCTCAGACCACCACATCTTGTTATCACAATGCAGATAAGGTCTCTTTTTCCTGATCCAACAAAATACTTTGTAATTAAGTTATTTTCTTTCATTGTGGTTATTAATGTATTATTATATTTCTCCTTGATGAGCTATCTTTTTAAGT